CTATTTTTCATTATTTAAGTGGTCTGTGACAAATCTGAAAGCAGCTTAAATGTTAGTGCAATAGTGATATCATTTACATGTTTCAAGTAGTTTGCTACAAATAATTCTGACTCAAATGGAGTGTCACTTCTGGAAAACATTGTATGTCCATTTAGTATGGTAATGCGGGAAGTCTTTCTCTGTATAAAAAGAGAAATCAAATCCTTTGTGCCAAATGCATTTAGCTTCTAGATATTTTTCAGGCTTGGTGATACCAACCAAAACTGACAATTATTTACATGAGTGAATTAGCCTGCATAACAAGTATCCCATTGTTTTACTAGACAGAGTAACAAGAATTTATAGCAACCTAAGACATGAATTATGTATTATTGTGTAGTGGTGATTTTCGAGAGAAAGGTTTTCTGTTATGTGCAAATAGGATACCAGTAGTATTTTTTTCATGGGAAGAAAAGCCTTAGCTATGAGTTCTCACCTGAAAAGGCAGTTTTAAATTTGAATTAACATTAAAGGAATTAACAGTATTTATTTTTAACTTCAGAGTAACTTCTGGTTGAGGAAAGAAATTGGCAACAAATAAATAGGGAGTAGCATTAATCCATGCCTGTATTCCCAAAAAACTCCTCTAACAAAACTATCCTGAAAACCATTAACTTTAGCACTGTACAGTAAGATTTTAATTTATCTAAAAACTCTCAAGTTTTTACTTTCAACAGCCAAAAACGCAGTACATATTTCAGGGGCAATTTTAACTCAATTTTCCAATACTACCCTCAACAAGTGAGGCTACAAAACATTACACGATTAACGTCTTGAAAACTGTCTGAGTATTTAAGTTCAGAAGGATAAAACGTTGAAGTACTCCATTTGTCAAAGAACAATCACGATCTGGCATCTCTGACTCTCCTCCCACATAGCGTGGGAGGAAAACCCTGTATTCTGTAAACATAAAACAGTAACGGGGCAATGACAGAGAGAAATATCTTTTTTTTTTTTCCTTTTTTTTATCTCAGTGACCTTTCTCCCATAGAAGAGAGATTGCACCACAACCTACATTTTAGATGTAACATACTCAAAGCTTTATTTCATGACACGTCACACTTGTTAAAACTTGAACTGATAAAAACTCACCATTCTTTTCTCTGTGCTGCCCTAGTGATGACACTCAAACAAGCTTCATAGGTGGCTGATAATAATCACAAAATCTACTATGTGCTCTTTTCTAGCTCTTCCAATCGTTGTGCAACACGTCGAGTTCACAGCATTGGTATCTTCCCATAAAATTGCCACCTAATAAGCTACATTTAAAAAGAAATCCAACTCCAATCCAGTGTATTGTCAAAAAACCCTTCAAAGTTGAACTTCTTCCATGGGAAAGGTTTGCCTAACTAATGCCTTTTTTGCTAATTGCGAAGCTTTGGTCCATCTTTAAAAACCAGCATAATAGTTTTAATTTCCAAATCCACTCAATCTTAAAATATTGAGTTCCTGCTATTTTTCTCTTACTCAGTTGTTGAAATTAAGTTTACACCACAGCCTCCACCCTTAGTTTTCAGCTAGGAAAACTGCTATTTCTCATTAGTACCTACATGCTAACATTGTGCTTTTGTCGACTCTGCAGTAGCTGTTACTTTCTTGAATTATACTGCAACATTTGAGACTTAACAAAAGAAATAACACTAGGGACCCAAAACATGGGCTGAAAAGTTAACTTTCCTGCCCCATTAATTTCCTTGTCCACTTTATCTATCATATAAACCAACAGATTTAGGTGGGTGTTGGGAAATCCCTTTCAATGGGAAGAGTAAAAACAAGAAAGGGTGAAAAAAAACAAATAGCCACTGCTGCAACTTACACCTGTGAAGTACGATATACAGCAATAAAATGCAGACAGACGCAACCGATTTTCCACGCTTATGACCGTTAATTAAGAAATGCCTTTTAGACATCGTATTCAATGCAGCTGTTGAATACAATGGCATGGTGAATCTTGATGGTGAATCCTCCTTTCATCAACCTCAAAACTAAAAAAGGAATTCAATGTCTTGTGGAACGGAGTTCTCATCGTTCCAGATGCACAGACTATTTCATGTTGGAGACCACCAGAGACTTCTTCAGCAGCTTATACATACTCAAACGATGAAAAACCATAACCTAGCAGGACTTTTCTAATTGCTTACCGTTAGTACAGAATCTGGAAGTTTTTATGGCTAAATCAGTGGTTCAGTTTAAAATTTGAACCATCGGAGACAGGACTAGCTTACTAAGTAAAAAGGAGTATTACGGGACACCTGAAGTCTTCAGAATATCCTCTTCACAGCTGTTCAGGAATACCATCCTTCTTTAGTACTTGGCTGTTTCTGAGAATTGCACATACTTGTAATTCAGAGGAGCACAAAGATATCTAAACACTTTAAATCTATGAAACTCTTCAGAACGATGAAAAGAATCACTTTAATTTTATACATGCAGTTTCACAACCTATTACCTGAATCCCAATTATATCAGCAATTTGCTCACCACATAACCATGCAATGATTCTACGTATGAATACTTGTTCTGAGAAGTCATAAATCAACAGAAACACAGGTTTAAAAATTTTCAATTTTGAAATTTATTTAGAACTCAGGGGTTAAGCGTGTTAAGTTTCCAATTGTCTGATAATAGCATACCCATGTCACTACCACGGAAATTGCACTAATTCCCTCTGCCCCCCTCCCCCTTAGAAATCTGCAGGTTAGTTTTAACAGCCGGTGGTTTTGCAAATAGTGCGCTCTAGGACACTACTGCATTTCCTGAGTGTTCAAAGCTACTGTATGATACATTAAGCTGAAGGAAAACAACAAAATTATTATTCAGAACTAAACCAGCTATTTTACCTTACTGCTGAAGTACGGAATCATAAAATGCAATGTATTTTAACAGGAGATTGTTTTGGAATGCTGGAAAAGGGGGGAAAAAAAAAAAAGAAGGAAAAAACACCTTTTTCAAAAAAATGACATCCTTTTTACTTCAGTTTTAAACTAAGTAATTTTTAACTTCAAGTCATTAACCTCAAGACTATTAAAAATGGCCAAAGAACTTAAGACTCGCTCAGACTGAAATGTAGTCGGAACTAAAATATTCATGTCGGTATTCCTTGACCTTTTAGGGTATTCCTAGTGACTCTAACAAAAGCAGCATAACAGGGTATCTCTGGTTTGTGTTTATCTTTTTAGTGCTCTTGAAAATGAGTTACTAACAGCACTGACCAGAGTGCTTAAACATGGGATTTCAGACAATCGCCTTGCAATGCACTTCAGCTTTATCGTGCAAAACCAATCCAGTCATAAACATCCCCACATTAAACACAATAAATTGTGCCAAAGTATGCAATGTGAATAAATGTCAGCTAATCTATCAACACATTGACAAATGTCAGCTTGTCTATCAAGTGTTGTTCAAGCCCAGAGTTAAATTTCATTTGTCAGAACTGAACTCCTCCATGGGCAGACTGCATAGTCTATGTAAGTTACTAGTTTTTGTCCAGAAAAATCTCTTCAAAGTTGTACTTACGTTGGCAAACAGGTTTAGAGGAGAGTTTCAGCCCTCTAAACTCACCATGAGTTAATACATCAATAAAGAGGTCCCACCACCTGCCGGTGGGATTTTTCCATGAAAGACCACAACCACTTCTTGATCAAAACAAAGCTGAAGCAGTGGCAGCTGATGGAAGTGCTAACTACGTTGTTCTTGCATCATTTTTTATGATGCATTAGATTTATTCTCATTTACAGATGATTTTGGCAGAAGGGTTCTTCAGGCTGCAGCTGAACAAAAAGCAACTTCTTGTCTCAAGTTTATTTTTTCTTCATAGAAACTTGTTTTGAACAAAGAACTGATAGTATAGGCAACTACCAGCAGGAACTACCAAGAGACGATGTGTTCCACTCTAGTATTATGTCAGTGGCTTGCCAATCCTTTTCCCCTAAAATATTTGTAAAAACATTGGAAATACCTATGAAATTTATAAAACAGCTCCTTAAACATCTGCTTAATGCCCTTTCCTTCAAATATAAAAGATCTCCACATTTCAGGGTCTTTTTCTGTGGATACAAGGGAGAGGTCGAGGAAGAGGTAAAAGATAGGATAACTGCTATCTTTTCAGTTGCTACGTTACAAAATTTAAATGACTACTACTCTAAAGGTTAAATACAGACTTTACATAACCAATCACAACAATGGAAATAAACCATAACTGAAACCATATAAAATCCGTATCAGGTCAAGTGACAGTACATTAAGAACAACCTTACATGTTATACAGAAGATAATATACACAGATTGTAACAGTTATTTTTCCCCTTAAAAGCCACTGTCAGTAGGATCAGTCTTACTGTACAGACAAGTGACTTGAATATTTGTAATTACTAACGGGGAAAATTTAGGTTATAAAAGAAAAATGTATCGAGTACACCTTTACGCATGTCTATACTATGATTTAAATTAAAAGCCTTAAGCATTCTCCTACATACTCCACTTTCAACCTAAATGGAATATCGCTGTCAGTATACAAACCTTAGGGAGGGCACTTCTAAGCTAGTTAGTATAACTATGCTAAAGGACAGCTATCTTACAAAGGAGATTAAGTTCAGATGTTTAGAAACTTTAACAATAAGAGAAAGTTAGAAACCCTAAACAGCTACTCGTAGTTAACTATCATTCTCCTACATACTCCACTTTCAACCTAAATGGAATATCGCTGTCAGTATACAAACCTTAGGGAGGGCACTTCTAAGCTAGTTAGTATAACTATGCTAAAGGACAGCTATCTTACAAAGGAGATTAAGTTCAGATGTTTAGAAACTTTAACAATAAGAGAAAGTTAGAAACCCTAAACAGCTACTCGTAGTTAACTATAATTACCTTTTAGAGAGCATAATGCTAAACTCCAGTATTTTCTATGGTCATTGTTTTAAAAGAAAGTTCTACCGCACCTAAAGGATAAGGCATAGCCATCTACTAATTGGCATATTTGTTTATTTGTCTCAGTTTGTGAAAAGGTCCTTATTTGTGTAAGCAGCAAAACAAACTTCAACTGAATGATTGCTATATGCAAAAGGACTGAAGGCAATTGCCTCTGCAGTGAACTTTACAGTTCTCAACAGCACACACGCAACATGCTATCTGAAAAAAGTTACTAACTGAACTACATGTATTAAATACTGAAAAAAGTTTTACATTTTTTATTATAATTTATTTTATTTAACAATCTAAGAAGTTTGCAGCCATCAGAAGTTCCAGTGCAATTTCAGGTGCAATTGGGAATTCAGGAATCTCCGTAGAGCTGTTAGTATAGCGGACCTTGTAGGTGAAATACATGCATACTTTGGATAGGACATGGGATGGGATCTCTCTAAAATTCACCTCATTTGTTTCATTTTCTGCAAACTGTCCTGTAGGGAAAAAAAACAAGAACAAAACACCAAACCAAGAGTCAGAATCTCAATTCACTGCAAAATGAAATGCTTTAAAATACTAATACAACACATTCCAAATAGACTTGCATTAAGTCCCATGTTCCTGGGTATGAGATTCTTCAGTGTAAAGCAGATGTGCCACATTCACAACCCTCAAGAATATTAAGATCCCCCACATTACAAAATGTTTATTTTGGCTGCAGCCTATTAACAATATTCTGAACAACTACACCAGAAATTTAGGTTTAATTCTGATGCTTGCTTGATAGGTGCTCTAAAACTGTAGTGTGCTCAGCTCTAAAGGTCACAGTAACAACGTTTAAAAAAAAAAAGGTTATCCAAATTTCTAGATGTCTTATGCAAGAAAAAAAATGGTTTATCGATGTTCCATATCTGCATATGCACACTTACCAGTGGTCCCTTCTGTGACCCCACTAGCTTTAAATTTCTCAGTCAGATTCAGGCAGATTTGACAGAGGGTTGAAACCTCAAAGATGCATTAACTTGATAAGCTATGAAAACAGGCAGGCAGGAGGGACAGGGAAACCCTAGTTGTGCTGGAGGAAAGGTTACATACAGGATGAGTTTGTCCCTATTAGATATTGAAGAATTTATCCAAAGCTCAAATCTCAAAACACAAGTACATTTGAAATTAGCTTTCTATAGTGCCTACAAGCATGAAATTTGGATGATACGAAGTCATCCTGTGGTTAGCACCACAGCCTTTCTACTGTTATCTTTGTCCCTCTTCTCCTCATCTCTCTGGACTTTCAACTCATTAAGCTGAAAGACAATATAAAAAACACTAACATGTAGTCCATATTTATGGGAGATCTAGCAATGTTTGGTTCCCACTATTTCTATAGGAATCCCCTTCTAACTACAAAACAGAGCTACTTACTAATGTCTACACACATTTGTGTAGAAATATCTGCATGCACTGAAGCCAATCCGGCTCGAATTCTAGTACAGGAACAGTAGGAAGCAACAGAAGAAATGTTAGCATATTGGCAATGTCACAGTACTGAAACAGGGGACACTTACACGTCAGTGAAATAATGACCTGCTGAACTAGACAGCAAGAGTACTTTCCTTGTGAACCTATTTATCTTGCTAGTTTTTATACAAAATATTCTTGAATGCTGACTCCTTTACAGAGTCGGTTTTCTAGCCCTCTAAGCAGGCTACTTCCCCTTTTATTCCTTCACATTGTTTGTGGAACAAATTCAGAGCAGGTCTTGTAACTACTTTTCCTCTTACGTGTCTGGGAGGCTGACATGGAGCGGATCAGACACAACAGACCTGCTACATATTTTCACATGCAACCATTACAATGACATTTAGCAGAACATTAAGCTGAGAATTTTAATTGCTCAGTTTGCCCAACTATTACTAAGCAAATAGATCTCTCCAGTAATCCCCTTCGCCAGAATCTAAAAGACAATATAAGGATGACTGTATTCAGACCAGAGCTCCACATAGCCTACCGCCCACCACTCAAGTGGCCAAAGGTAAACGTATGGGATGAGGGTACAGAGGAGGGAAAGCACACGTGTTAACTTCTCCCCATTCTTTCCTCCACCCTTTCAGTCTTCAGGAATTAGTTCAGACACTTCTTAAAACAGAGGTAGTCTCATATATTCAGTAACGCATGAGGTCCTTCCCTTCTGTAAGTTTATCTACCCTCCTCTCAAACTTAAGCTAGCTTTTGTCATTAAGCTCAGGGACTCCTTGCCATAGGATCTTGTGAACATGTTGTGGCCTAAACCCCAGTAGGTGGCTAAGCACCACACAGCCACTTGCTCACTTCCCCATGCAGTGGACAAGGGAAGAGGAAAAGAAGAGTAGAAGCAAGAAAACAAGTGGGTTGAGATAAAAAATTGTTTAATAAGTGAAAGACAAGTGGAAGAAGAGAAAGGAAACAAAACAACTGATGCAAAGGTAATCACGCACCACCTCCCGTGGGTAGACTGATGTCCAGCCAGCTCCCCAAGCAAAAGACAGCTAACCTCTCTAACCCCCTCCTCTCCCTTTTTACTTCTGAGCACAACGTTATATGGCATGCAGTATCTCTGTGGTTAGTTTGGGTCATCTGCCTGGTTGTGTTCCCTCCCAACCTCTTGCACCACCCCCGTCTACTCCTTGGGTGGGGGGAAGTGAGAAACAGAGAAGGCCTGAACACTGTGCAAACACTGTTCAGCAATAGCTAAAACATTGGTGTGTTATTGGCATTGTTTTGGTCACAAATCTAAAACACAGAACCATATGACCTGCTACGAAGAAAATTAACTCCATACCAGCCAGACCCAGTAGAGAATACTAAAAGTTTCACCATGGAGGTGGCAATGAAGAACTACCAACTCTTGTTTGTTTTGAACTTGACATCTACACATTTCATGTAACACCCTCATGTTCTCATACCGTGGGAAACTAGTAGTAATGACACCGTAAGATCGCTAACTGTCCAGAAGCGGACAGAGTCCAACTACCACGTCTGGTAGCACAACACCCCACAGAGGTGGACTGTTCCACTGGAAACAGGAACTAGGCGGGATCTGGAAAAGTTATCATTTATTCCAACTTTCACTCACTGCATGATATAAATTCAAACTGTCCAGAAGTGAAAACAAAGGACGTGAAGGTACTAAATCTTTTGTACCTACCTGGTCCACTCAACATAGCTTTTATTGTTCCTGATGTTAATGCATGCTCTCTTTTTACAATGAACTCATGGCCATCAGAGGATATTAACTTCACATACATAGCATCTGGGCCCTCACACCCACCGTATGTTTTCTCTTCTCCATCTATAATGGAAAACAGATTAACAGTTTTGGAACACAATGACTGATTCACGTCGCTAAGAATGTAAGCTGCAGTCTTTTCTACGACTATGTTTGCAGACCGAGGAATCCAATACAACCAGAAATGAGACAGAAGCATTTTGCATATTTGAAGATGACTTCTCTGAAGTCCTCAGCAATCTGTTTTAAAGTAAGAATTTTTGCAAAAGTAGGATTTTTTTTTAATTAACATCTCTCCCCTCTCATTTCTCCAACACCAAATTCTGACATGATTTCTGAAATCTATGTAGGGATGAAATTTTCCTTTAGACATTCTCAAGTGAATTGAACATGCTACTGCTTCCCTCCATAAGGCTACTGCCATGTTTATCATACTGGTACTTACTAAACGTTATCTAAATACATATCTAATATTTAAAAATACAGGCTGCAAGGAAAAAAGTGCTTTTTGAAGCACAGGTAAGAATAAAAACAGTCAGTATTCCTGTACTGAAGAAATGATACGAAATAAGATTCATCCTCCCCCAGTGCCCAGCCAGACCCAGAACCATACAGCGTTATTGCACACCTGTGTTGTGACCTTTGGTGGAAAACAGGGAAAGTGCAAAAGCACTAAAACCAAGGAAATTTGGAAATTCTCCCCGCAGCAGTTTTGACTGTGCTTTTTCTGTTTCCCTTCTCCCTTCTGTCTCACTATACACCCGCTCTCTACTTTGTTTCTCTAGAAGCCCTTATCCCCCTTCCCTTTTTGTTCATTCATTTATTCTCTCCTAACAGCTCTATCTTTAAAAGTTGAAAAAACAACATTACTCTTGCCACCACTACACTGTTCACTCTGTGCAGTCTTAACAGTTCCCCCATCTTGCACCTGTCTTGTCTATTTAGGCAGCACGCTCTCTGGGGTAGGAACCACTGACTACTTTGTGCCTGTATAGTGCTCAGTACTATAGGACACCATCGCACTAAGGAGACTGTCTCTGTAGTTAGTCTTTATATGTTCCTGTAAACTCTTAAGCAGAAAAGACTGCAGTAATATTAAAATATTTTTGAAAAAAATGAGTGTAAAAAAACCCCACCCCACTAAATATACAAATCCTCCAAATTCAAACTGGAAAGTTAAAGCCTTCTTTCAAGTACTGTATTTTCTAAGGGACTAATATAGCAAGTATTGCTAGAATTCCATTAAAAAAATACTTGAATTTGACACTGCACACAAAATTTGATTTTCAGAACAGTGTTAATCTTGACAGAAAGTTAAAAATAAGAGTCCTGGAAGTTCTTCCAGCTTGGAAAAATGTAACAGAAGAGATCTGTATGCTTCTAGAAAAGTAATATACTGCCAGGATTTCATGATCGTATGCAGAAGTACAGGAGATAAAACAGATACAAACTTGACATTAGATTGTTAGTGTTGTTTCTCCTTCTGACAAAACAAAGACTAGAAATTATATTAATTATATTAGAATAAGTACCTTGCATTGTATCTAGTGTTATAGCAAATACAACATTCCCCTAATCAATTGTTTTGTGAATTTGAAGTTAAAATTGAATTACCATGTAGTTATTGCCAATTTTAATAAAGTACTGCCAGCACCAAACATGCTAAAATACATTCAGAAAAAGTATAGATAAAACCAGAATCTGTCCAGTCATGGTTCATTAACCAGCCATTTGTAGAGGCAGATACGACAGGTTCAGACATTTAGTCAGATCACACACACAATCTAATTTATCAGAAATCAGTCCTTATTATGATCTCTTAGCCAGAATTCAACAGGCTGACCTTAGTTAACAAACAAACAAAAATATTTAAAACAGTACATAGTGAAATTTTCTTGTCTACTATCTAAAGGTTTAGTGCTATAAAAGCCTAAAGGCATCCTATTTCAGCATGTCCATTTTCAGCACTATGCAAAATAACCAACTGAAATTTATTGTTAGATAGATGCACTCTGAACAAGTCTTTTGACAAATGAACATTCACTTGAGAAAATCCTCCTAAGAAACATTTGTAGGAAGTTCCATTAACTTTTGAGGCCACAAGAAAAACAGTGACAAGATCAACATTTAAAGTCTTACAATCCACCTCCTCTACCGATGTAAGAGAGAAAATGCTTCACATTATAGGAAACAAAAAAAAAAAAACTCGAAGATGAACTTACCCATTCTCTTCTTATAAAAAAAATTATTTCTTTTCAACAGCAGCTTTTGCAATAGGAGGGTCTGAAAAAACATAAGCAGCAATATTTTCAGTCAGTAGTACAATTTCTTAAGTCAGCTTTAGTTATTAGCCTTTAAGTTATCATAAACACTCTTCAGAAAAGAATGTGATGATACACAGCATGCGATGTTGATGAGCATTACATTTTGAAAACATTACATTTTGAAACTCATCTTTGCTGTCCAGAGATCCCTACCATATCCAAGAATCTCTGAATTTTAGCTTACTTTGTACAGAAGTTGTTCCCCTAAGTTTTTAAAGGCCCTTGACTATAAAGCCAGAGTTATCTCAAGAGCCTTATGACTTTGATCACTACGCACACCATCCATGCAATGGTATTGGGGAGGTAAAGAAAGCAAGTTTTGCCACACTGCAAAAGGCACTTAAGAGACTGAACGGCTTATCTACAGGGGGAAAAAAAAAAAAAAAGTCAGAGAAAGTTCACTATGCTGTGAATAGAGGAGTGGTTGTCCTGCCATTCAGAGGGACCTTGACAAGCTGGAGAAGGGGGCCAACAGGAAACCTTTGAAGTTCATCAAAGGGAAATGCAAACCCCCACCTTGGGAAGAATTACCCTAGGCACCAGTACTGGCTGGAGGCCGACCAGCTGGAAAGCAGCTTTGCAGGAAGAGACCTGGGGGTGCTGGTGAACATCAAGTTGAACATGAGGCCTTGTAGCAAAGGCGGCCAACAGCACTGTGGGCTGTATTAGGAGGAGTGTTGCCAGCAGGTTGAGGCAGGTGATCCTGCCCCTCCACTCAGCACTAGTGGGACACATCTGGAGTGCTGGGTCCAGCTCTGGGTTCCCCAGTACAGGCCAGACTGAACTGAGTCCTCCAAAGGGCCACAAACATGACCGAGGGATTGGAGCACCTGTCATATGAGGAGAGGCTGAGAGAACTGGGGCTGTTTAGGCTGGAAAAGAGAAGGCTCAGGGATCAGTCTAATCAGTGTGCACTAAATACCTGGCCTCCAACCTGTCCCAGAAGATTGACAGTTCCTGACACAGCCACCAGTGTCACCTAGATAATCTACTTAAGACATTTAATGTAGGTATGCACATGGAAAGTTAACCGGGAGCTTCCATAGCTTATAAATTGACATCCAGCTTGCTACATATGTATTTGGCCATGTAAATGAATCCAAAGAGTTAGAGAAATGGAAGCACTTATTTGCAAAACAAACCCAGTATGTTCAGATACAACATACATTTCTTTACACTGAACTGCATCTCTGCTGTGGAAAAGAAAACTTTGGAAATTCCACCTACCCACCTGCTGTCCTAAAATTCCTTTCACGTCAACAGCTACTCTCCAAACATTAACCCAGTAGAAATCAATGAACTACTGTTGTGTGCCCACAGGTTCAGGAAAACAGCACCAGTGATTCAGGGGTTGGGGGCAGTGAAGAGACTGCTAAGAATTCTGACGATCCATATTGTTGCTTTGAAAAGCAACAAGCAACAGCGGAGGCACAAACTGCGATTACTCACTAGAGAAGAACCCCAGAGCAGGAGGTATGAAAAAACAGAACAGAAACCACTCCCCCCATCCCCTCCCTCCCATGTTTCTAGTAAAAACTTAGCAAAAAATATAAGCAAGTTGAGGAAGGAGCTGCAAGATTTGGAGGAAGTTTTACAGAGATCTCTGCATCTCTTCAGAAGATGCAGCTCTTTGCTATTGCCGATAGCTTCACTTCTCAACAGCACTTTGGTGCTGATTTGTTCCATCTCCCTTTTTTCGTAACCACAAATATGAAATAGTCTGAATGTTTCCTCAAGCTTTCACAAGAAGGCACTTTGTTATGTACACCTAATCAAACTACACATGCATAACCAATAGTTTTTAGTTGTCTGTGGAGAACTGAGCAAAAAGCATCCTCAACTTACATTGTTGTTGTCTCTGAAAATTATCCTGACTTTACAGAAATATCTTATACAATATTTTCCTTCCCCACTGGTATAAGGAACATCTTCACCTGTAGTCTTGCAGGTGAAGAGTTCCTGAATATAAGGCACATTCAAGAATAGTCTTTGAGAGTTAATTTGTGTATTCTGTCATAGAGATACCTTAATATCAAGTGTTAAATGCCTTTGCCATTTTCAATAATTCCAGGAACTCATCCAAGGAAATTAGATTTGGATGCTGGAACAGTAGCGGCACAAAACTGATAGGATCTTTCACCCTATTTCAACAGTTTTTGTAAATGGAAATCCAGCATCTTATTGGGGAGCTATCTCTTGCTCAGGAGCTGAAAGGATACCTTACATTATTAATTCTGCTTCGCAGAAGAGGATCACTTGTGCTACTTCTCTAGCCACAAAAGCCTTCCCTACACTCCAAGAGAGTGGTGAAACCACTTATGATTTACAAATAATAATAATTAAAAAAACACAGAAGAAGTGATACCATTTTGTGGATGTACTGGTGACAATAAAATGTGCCTTGGTTTCCAATACAAATAATGTCACCAGATACAGGAGCAAAGACAGGCTAGTTAGTGGGAATGCAAATTTATTAACACCTTCCAAGGTAAAAGCATAACTTGAGGGAGCTAATACACTGAAGCTGGGGAACTGAAAAAATGTCTACACCAAAACATTAGAGCTGTCCCAAAAAATTGCAATGAGCATTTTAATAAAATCAAATGAAACGTGCTATCATATGATTAGAGAGAAAAAAAGAAATACAGTAGTTAACACTGAAAGAAGAAAAAAATGTTATCAGGCTCTGTGATCTGAATTCAATTGTATTAAAAAAGAAAACAGAACAAAAATGCAGTAAGCGTCAGCAGATTTAGGACATGCTGGACTAATCCAATACCTAAAAAATAAATCAGTCATTTCCTTGGAAAAAAGGAAACTCAAACAAGATGCAGTCTGGACTCATTAAATCATCTCAGGTTAAATGAATGGGATAAGAGGGTATTCTTAGAGAAAGTTTCTTTCTCATTTTAAGAATACAGTATGATGTTGCAAGTGTGGAACAATTGGACTAGAAAAGAACTACTAGTTCCTCCAAAAATTATATCGAACTTTTTTTTTTTTAAAAACAATGCTGCCAGAAAAGAATAGGTAGATTTAGATGAGACAGAAGTGGAAAGCACTGCAACAAAAGGGGAACAGAGTATCACACACACAAGTGATGGGTCTTGAAAAATGGCTTACTAGAAACCACATGAAATAAAATCACATGAAATGCAAGATTCCTGCACGTAGGGACCCATACAAGCTTCTTTCATGTAGTCAGGGCTTGTTATTTGGGAGTACAGTCATTCTGTGATCAACTATAAACTGATGCAGCTCTGTAGGGGAGGGGAGTAGGGGGAAGGGAAAAAAGAGGCAAATGCACATCAAGGATTTCTTTGCAATAGAGATGGGTAATGTGAACATTTTTGCACATGAGCAACAACTTCTCTGGAATACCACACACAATTCTGAATTCCTGTTTTCAAGAAAAAGAAGTTCTAATTACAAGAACTACAGAAAGGAGCTACTGATATGACCAAAGAGCCTGATGTATAAAAGAAAAACTAGTCTTGCTTACTCGGCTTAGCAAAATAAAACTCTAATGAAGACAAATATAACAATTCATTAAAAGGATAAACATCAAAGAGGGAAAAGTATGCCAACGTTATTCCTCGGTTTAAGTCCAACAAATGAACATAAACTAAAAAAAAAAAAAAGAATAAAATTTATACTGCTATTCCAGAAACCAAGTTTGGTTCCAAATATAGAACAAAACTAACATTCTATTGCCAAAAGTAAAAGATGCAGAAAGCCTATCTGCTTTTAAGAAAAAGACATCATATATTCCATTATATGATGCATTCAACATGTAAGCAAGGGATACAGTTGGGTTTCATTCAGTTTCTATTCTGATAAAACAATGTGTCATTTGTGGGGAAAAAAAAAATCTAAAAAGATAATCGTGAATACGATTAGGAGTACAGATTTACTCCTCACAAAATATGGACAACAGAGTCGATGCAACAAAAGAGGAGAGAAGGAAAGAAAAACAAGAAAGCTGGGAAACCTGAAAAACCTAAAAAAGCAGTAATAACCTGTTAGTGTCTATTGGTTCCTCTTCTGGGTCAAGAAGGGTTCAGTGTGTCATGACACTTTATGAAGATTAGAACATACTGCAGCTCAAAATTATTATTTTGTGAAAAGCATCTTCTTCCCAACAACTACACTCAGGTTATCTGAGACAGTATTAACATGCTCTCGCACAAGCCACAGCCTATTTTTTCAGTCAACTGTCTTACTGGTTCATAAGTTTACAGAAAAATAAGTGAAGAAACAGCTGAAGAAATACAGTGAAAAATTGGGACAGAAAACATGCAATATTTGATTTATTTATTTTTGATAGAAATCTTGATTTGTCATGTAAGATCCCTCAAAACCAGAAAAAAATGCACATAGAAAAGAAATTAGACAGATGAAGGATGTAGAAATCCCTGCCACACACAAGTTATCGCTTGTGCATATAGTAAAAGGAGTGTGGAGGTAAATTTTCTGCACAAAAATATGTATTTTTTTAAACTGACAACTGTGTGCTCTTAAGTATTAAATAATAGGTTAGAAACAGGAAAGTCAAGTGACCTGGTATGTTCTCTTACCAGAAATTATTTTCTTACAGTGTATTTTCCAATACACTATTTATTGCAAAACATGTCACTATATTTTCCTTCTGTATAATGAAAACAATATAAATGACAACATTTGCCAAGACAACATGAAGAAAGACTCGGTGAGATTTCTGAAGATGCCTGGTAACCACCTATATTTTAATTACCTTTCCACATTTTATGGCTGCCCCTGTCTGACTTCTCCAAGACCACACCAATGCAGCAGTATGGAAGAGAACAATCCAAGTTTTCTGAACACTCAAATGTTTGCCTTTTTTATTATATATTTCTGACCTGACTATTTTAGACTCCTGCAAAGAACTGCTAATTTTTGTTGAAGTACATCGCGATTCCATTTCCCCTTCAAGAAACTTACGTGGCATTACCAATTAGGTAGCTCAGCTCCCTGGCTTTAGTCTCAAAAAAAGCACGCATATTAGGCATTGTCGTTCTCCTGCCTTGCCTCCTTAAAAAAAAAAAATGAGCAAAACCTGCATTCATTAAGAGAAAGATTACATAAAAAGGATATGCCACTTTTTAATCAATGAGGGAGAATACAATACGACTAAACCCAGCATATTTGGCACAGAAACTTTCCAGCCAGTCTAAAAAGGAAGCTCTTGCTGCAGAAAACAAAATTCTCGTTAGGTATTAGAGAACCGAAAATTTTGACAAGTTGCTAGAATATTTACACCTATGAGGCAGAATATAGCAAATTATCATAAAACATGGTAGTTAGCCACACAAAGCAAGTGTTCTTGTTAGCATACTTAAACATCTTACCCTCCTCCTTACAACTCTAAGAAGAAATACTATGGTATAATGAGTTTAGTTTGACCTCTTTCCTGCTTCTCTTGAGCACCAAATGCAAGGAAAAAAAAAACCAACCAAAAACCAAAGCACATCCATGAACCTCCCACCTCACTCCCAAAGCTGCGCACTCATTTCCCAAGCTTCCCAGAGTTTCCAGAATATCATTTCCTTGTGTATCTTGTATGTCGATGAGACTGGAACAGACTGGAAGGACATATACTAATTTAACTGAACACATGCAACCCCTGTACGGATTCCAGAACCCATTGCTTTATTCTGGTTAGCACAAGAAAATTAAATCTACGCAAACATTTCAAGCACTCAGATTCTTTGATCCCACAGAAAACTCTTTAAAAACTCAGGCTCTGGTCTAAGGAAACTCAAATGGCTTCCACCTCATTAGCTGTGCAACGCACACACAGCTTTTGTATGCTTCAGCTGGTGACATTTCTGTATTCTACGCTATCAATTTTTGGAAAATGTGGGGCAAATAACACAAAAGCCTTCACAATTCCTAGGTTAGTTTAGAAGCCAAACGTGACATTTTCTGGGTGTCATGTGTACATTAGTAAGAGTTCATCAGTAACAAAGGCTGTTGTGTGTTGAAACAGCAGCCTCCTACTGTTTAATCCTAAATTCTAGTCCTATTCTTGATCCTATACACTAACTTGTTTAAAAATACTGCTCTTCAAGTTTAGTATTCATTGTTCAGTACACATAAAAAAATAATTAATGTAAATAAGGATTGAAGCATATTTAGAAAACACATGAACGAAAACTGGTACGGCGTGATTTCCAAATCAGCTGATTCACTATTCCATACTCACGGGCACTAAAATTCAAACATTCAGGGGCAAACTGAAGTGTGACAGGAAGGTATACTACAGGCGAATGCTAGTTAAGATAAACTAGCATTTATCTAGTTTACCATTAAGATGAGGTAGGATATTGTGCATGGAGTATCAAAGATCTCACATAAGAGATGTTCTTTTTCTATCTAAGGAAACTTTCCTTTTCAGTAATTCCCAAGAAAGTTTAAAAAAAAAAAAAAAGGGCAGGGGGATGTTACTGTTTTCTTCCTAACATACCATAAAAGCCCTGTACTGTACACCTCTTGCCATTAGGGGAAAAAAAGCTGCTAGCATATTGCAAAATTTTATAGGGCATGGATTTCTGCCCTCTTGTTACAAGCATTCATCAAAAACTACAAACTACCCCATAATGAAGATAATTAAATTCTGAACCTTTCTAGGTGCAAGAGAACTTGTCAAAATACATCAAAATTCCTTTATTTTAATCTGACAAAACCCATACAAGAAACACTAAAGTTTTGTCATAAAAGTAATATACACTGAGAATTGCAAAACACAGTAAAACATCTGAAGCTAAGTATACTTTTGAAAGATATTCATTTGTCCCCACACAAAGCATAAGGGACAGAAGCATGAACACAAAGTATCAGAAAAAGTAATATGAGGGTGGGAGATAGAAGAAGGTACCTCAGAGAATCAACTGGATCTCCTCACTGTACCAATATTAAGTCTTCACATTAAGACTACATGAAACTACCTAAATCTGTTCATCACCCGTTCTAGTACAAAAAAAGAAATCTCAAATAGCTTTTCTTTGATACAACAAGAAAAAAATTAAATGCTGGAGTATTGGAAGTTTCTAAAGATTATCTTAAAGCTCCCAATACTAATGGTAAACGTTAGTGAAAATTTTATTGACATAACTTAAACACATTACAAGGCTGACCTCAAGGTAGAAGGTGTGCGCTACATGTGTAAAGATGGTAGCCAATATATTATAGAAAAACTAATTAACACTTATTCCCCTTCTAAGTAACTCTTCGGTTAATAAACATTATTTCACTGCCAACAATATTTTTTGTCCTTAGTATAGCAAAAGGAGGAAACTGGAGCACAGAAGGGATTATTCAGAAATAAGGGTACAAAGTGGTTCTTAGCCTAAAGGTCTCTCACTTGACTATCTATGTTTTCCTGGCTTGCTTCCAAATTGAACTTTTGCAAGTGATCTTCAGCAAACCCGAGTAAACAAATGGCCTATGACTGTTTAAGTCTCCCTACAGTACAAGGCTTAACTCACAATTTACAGTATTAAACATCTTTAATAAAGTTCCTGCACATAGTATATTACACGTTGCAAGATTAAACTGGCTCTCAAAGTTAACTGCTTAACACCCCTTTTCCTTTTCACGCATATATTTGAAGACATCAATAGTTTACCAATGCTCGGGTTCCCTGGTATTAAAGCAGAATCTCCCTCCGAGGAACACATGGTACTCAAAAGCTTATTTTTCTTACTACATGTAACTGTATCACCCTTTTCCGTCAACCTTGCTTTGCTTACATTCGTCGACCATTACAGCTAACGCACTTTAACCAGCACTTCTCACCTTGGTATAACAACCCCTGGGGGTGCATCCTAAATTCTTTCGGTCTTAGTTTTTTCCCCTCTCTCTAGGGCCTGGCGTGGGAAGAGGGTGGACGTCATTTGTGGCGGAAAAAGTTTAAGAGCGATATTTAATTAAAACACCGTTCCGGAAAGCCCCGTTCCCGGCGGCGCGTGGATTTCAAGGAGACGGCTTCACTCCCGCACGCAACGGAGAGAAACGCGCCCATCGCCACCGTCCCGGCGGGGGAACCCCGACCTGGCACCGCACCCCTCCACACACCCCCCGACAGCTCCCCGCGCTCCCCCGTCCGCTCCGAGCC